TTCAGGAGCTGAGCTGTCATGACCTAACTGTGAGTTGGATCAGATAACAGGGTATTGTGCTGGACAGGCCTGCACTTCAACAACATGGACACTGGAGGTGGAGTGAGCCATCAAGCTGAAGAAGGAGTCCTGGGATTAATTAACCTGTGGGACTCTGGAGACAGCTGACAGGTACTGGCAGTCCAAGCACAGTGGGGCTCTGGCGGTGGCTGAAATTAAATTGGATGTGGGAAGAGTTTGCTAATGCTTTTGAACAAGACTTTTAGAGCCAGCCACATTTTTCCAATCTTTTATTGTCCAATTTTCGTGAGCCCATGGGAATTATGGGAATTGTAGCCTTAGTTTCCTGCTGTTAGCTGACAGAAGTGGCACCTGATGTGGTCTTCTGCTGCTGCTGTAGCCTATCTGCTTTGAGTTTAAATGTCTTATGCATTTAGTCTCATGGTCGGATGGTCCTCCCCGGACGACCTGTCTATATGTGTGTGTGTCTCTCTCTCTCTCCTCCTCCCGACCCTTATTGTCTCCACCCAGCGGCCGACACACCTGCACCTAATTTGCCACCCAGCTGTCACTAATCATTCTTGGTTTTGGGCCGAGGTATTTAACTGTGTGTCCTGACAGCAGTTGACGCTGGATTGTACTGGAAGCTCAGTAGTAAAGAGTGTTTGTTACTCGTAACATAGCTTTAGCCAGCTAGCCTTCTCACCTGTTGTCGTCACTCGTTTGTAGGAGGAAGTGATACGGAGCAGAAGGTTGGAGAGAAGGAGCCCGCTGGATTAAGCTCTTGGAGGAGAAACACACTCGGATAATCACTTGGGAGACTCACCTGCACACCACTGGGAATTTGGAGAAGATCACCGTTGGATTTTGCACTTCGCTTTGTGTTTTGAGAGCACTGTAAATAAACGCACTGTTTGCTTCGCATCCAGAGCTCCATGACTGAGTCCGTATTTTCCCATTACCCGTGACAGAACAATCCAGCCAGCAATGGACTCAGCGGACTCAACTCCCGTCCAGCGCGTGCTCATGCTTCAAGCTGAACGATTGGAACAACATGAAAAAATGCTGCAGCATGTTGCCGAGGAGCAGTCCGCGCTACTACAGGTGGTATCTGAACTGAAAGGTATGTTGCTTGCTACACCCAGAGCACCTGTTCAATCACCAGAGCTCCCTGCACAACCACAACCACCAGTAGAGCTTGAAAATGTAGCGGCGGCCTGTCCTCTTCCTCCAGCTCCACCTCCACCACAGTGAGAACACACGTTACCTGTACCTGAAAAGTTCAATGGAGATTTGGACAAAAGCCGGGGATTTTTGACTCAATGCTCTCTGATTTTTATGCAGCAGACTCGAGCTTATGCCTCTGATATTGCCAAGATCACCCTCATGGTTGAGCTCATGACAGGACGAGCTCTGCTGTGGGCTCAAGCAGTCCTGAGCGCCCAGCCTTCCATCTCATATAGTGATTTTTTGAGCAAATTTCGATGTGTGTTTGACAAAGGATCTAACCCTGACAGTGCTGCTCATCGCATGTTTACATTAAAGCAGGGCCGGCGGAGCGTGGCAGACTTCTCCGTGGATTTTTGGATCCTGGCTGAGGAGACTGGCTGGGAGGAGAAGGCGTTACGTGGAGCCTTCCTAAACAGCTTAAACGAGAACGTCAAACGTGAGTTGGCTATTAAAGAGCTTCCTAAATAATTAAGTGCCCTCCTTAACATGTGTATAAGTCTAGACGACCATATGCGGGAGTTTGGCAGGCGGACTGGAGAGGGGCGGCGGTCAGTAGGGGGCGTAGGAGTTCCGACTGGACTCTCGTCTCTCGAGTGGAGAGAGGAGGAACCGGACTCACCTGCGGATGAGGAGCAACCCATGGAGCTGGGACGGACTAAATTCACCCGGAGGAGAAGACAACTGGTGGGTGAGTGTTTTGGGTGCAGGAAGAAGGGGCATTTCCCGGACGCCTGTCCTTCACGGTTAAAAGACTCAGCCCGTCAGTAAAGGTAGGGATACTGACGGGTGCACCGGTTAATACATTCCTCCACCTCAGCTGCCCAGCTAAATTACTGTTTCTTTCCCGCACCCATTCTTGTGACGCACTAATAGACTCGGGAGCTGAACAAAGTTTTTTGGATGAGGCTTTGGCCCACAAAATGGGTTTGCCTGTTGTTCCTCTCCCTGAAGCGCTCCAAGTGTCAGCACTTAATGGCAGTCCTTTAGCTGCTGTCACTCACCGCACCCAAGAAATCACACTCACTCTCTCCGGCAATCACACTGAGCAGATGTCCCTGTTTCTTTTCAAGGCACCTGACACACCTTTAGTTTTGGGATTCCCCTGTCTCCAGTGACACAATCCACAGATTGATTGGGCCAAGGGATGTATCGTGGGGTGGAGCACCCGTTGCCATGAGCAGTGTTTACGCTCTGCGGTGCCGGTTTGCATGTCTGACGATCCTGCGGGGCCGCCCACTCGCCCCGTCTTGTCAACCGTGCCCGCCGAATATCACGACCTAGGGCAAGTCTTTAGCAAAGATGGGGCCCAATCACTGCCCCCCCATCGTCCGTACGACTGCGGGATTGATTCGCTCCCGGGCGCCCCCTTGCCCACTAGTCGACTCTATAGTATCTCAAAACCCGAGCGCGAGTCTATGGAGCTCTATATTACGGACTCCCTGGCAGCTGGCATCATCCGCCCCTCCACCTCTCCCTTGGGCGCAGGCTTCTTTTTTGTTGACAAGAAGGATAAGACCCTACGCCCCTGCATTGACTATCGGGGACTAAATAAAATCACAAAAACAAAAACAAATATCCTCTACCTCTGTTCGCCTCAGCTTTTGAACTCCTTCAAGGAGCCACCCTTTTCACCAAACTTGATCTCCGCAATGCTTATCACCTGGTCCGCATCTGCGAGGGGGATGAGTGGAAGACAGCCATCAACACCCATCTGGGTCACTTCGAGTACCTGGTAATGCCGTTCGGACTCACAAACGCCCCTGCTGTCTTCCAGGCCCTGGTATATGATGTCCTACGAGCCCTTTTGAACCACTTTGTGTTTGTTTATCTTGATGACATTCTGATTTTCTCCAGATCCAGAGCTGAGCACGTTAAGCATGTGAGACTGGTGTTGCGCCGTCTGCTGGAGAATCGGCTGTTTTGCAAAGCGGATAAATGTGAGTTTCATGCCTCAACTGTCTCTTTTCTGTGTTTCATCATTGAACAGAGCCGGTTGCAAGCGGACCCGGCTAAGGTCAAAGCTGTGTTGGAGTGGCCTGTGCCCGGCACCTGGAAGAAGTTGCAAAGTTTTCTTGGATTCGCCAACTTCTACAGATGTTTCATCCGGAACTTCAGTAAGGTAGCACTGCCTCACAACTTACATCACCCAAACAGCCATTCCTGTGGTCTCCAGCAGCTCAACAAGCATTCGACCGTCTCAAAAGCCTGTTCGCCTCAGCCCCCATCCTGGCCCAGGCTGACCTCACCCTGCCATTCGTGGTGGAAGTGGATGCTTCTGATTCGGGAGTTGGGGCGATTCTCTCTCAGCGCAAGGAAGGTAAATTACACCCCTGTGCCTTTTTCTCCCGTCATCTCTCACAGGCCGAAATGAATTATGACGAGGGCGACCGGGAGCTTCTTGCCATCAAGTTGGCGCTGGAGGAGTGGTGGCACTAGCTGGAGGGGAGCGAACATCTTGTTGTCGTTTGGACAGACCTCAAGAACCTTGCCTACCCCCAAGCGGCTAAGCGCCTGAACGCCCGACAGGCCAGGTGGGCATTGTTTTTTGCACGGTTTTGCCTAACCATTACCTACAGGCCCGGGTCCCGGAACACGAAACCTGATGCCTTGCCACGCCAGTTCGCGCCAGACACAGACCCTGAGGAGAAGGAGAGGCCCATTCTGCTGGCCTCGTGCATTGTGGGGACCCTCACCTAGGAGATAGAAAGGGTCCGAGATGCCCAGCAACAAGAGCCCGACCCCAGAACCGGTCCGGAAGGTAGATTGTATGTTCCCTCGGCGGTCGGGGGTAAAGTTATCCACTGGGCACACACCGCGCGGTCTACCTGCCATCCAGGTAGGAATCGAACTGTCACCTTTTTACAAAGGTTGTTTTGGTGGCCTTCTCTCTCTCAGGACGTCCGGGAGTATGTGGCCGCATGTCCTGTGTGCGCTCGAAATAAAATGTCCAACTCACCTCCATGGGAACTCCTTAGACCACTGCCTGTCCCCAGCCGGCCGTGGTCGCACATCGCTCTTGACTTCATCACTGGTCTCCCTCCATCCTCTGGTAAACCTGTTATACTCACCATCATTGACCGTTTCTCTAAGGCTTCCCATTTTGTTGCCCTTACCAAACTTCCCACCACTCTAGAGATTGCCCAGCTCCTAACCCAGCATGTTTTTCACCTTCACAGCATTCCTCTGGACATCGTTTCTGACCGTGGGCCCCAGTTCACCTCTCAGGTGTGGAAGATGTTTTGTGCCGAGCTGGGGGTCCAGGCCAGCCTGTCTTCTGGTTTCCACCCGCAGACTAATGGGCAAACAGAGCAAGCGTACCAGGAGCTGGAGGCCATGCTGCGCTGCGTTGTTTCCTCCAACCAGTCATCATGGAGTGAGCAGTTGGCATGGGCCGAATACGCCCATAACTCCAGCACATCGGCCGCTATAGGTGTCTCTCCCTTCGAAGCATCCCTTGGGTATCAACCCCCCACTCCTCTCCATCACGGAGGGTGGCCGTGCCTTCCGTCCAACATCACATGAGGTGCTGTCGACGGATCTGGCGGGCGACTCGAGCGGCCCTACTGCGTACGAACGCACACAATAAGAGACTGGCTGACCGCCGCCGCGTCCCTACACCGGCCTATGGGGTGGGCCAGCAGGTATGGCTTTCCTCTAGGAACATCACTCTGTGGACCGAGTCCAAGAAGCTAGCTTCCCGGTTCCTTGGACCCTTTTCTGTGTAAGCCATCCTGAATCCAGTAACTGTCCGGCTGACCCTCCCGCGCAACATGAAGGTACACAACGTGTTTCATGTTTCTCAAATTAGGCCAGTCCGGACCAGCCCATTGTTTGAGTTACTGTCCTATCAGCTTGAAGCTCTCCTCTGACCTCTGGCATCAACAACAGTATGCCATTCTCAGTAAACCCCAGAGAATTTTGTGTAGGACAATCATCGTCAATCAGCAGTTTCTAAAATACCCAGATCAGCCTGTCTGGCAGCAACAATCATGCCACCTTCAAATTCACTTCAGTCATCTGTTCTTCCTCAATGTGATGCTTGGTTTTCAATTTTCAGCAGGTCATCTTGACCCTGTCTGCCTTGGATGATTATATGTTTGAGTTAACAAGCAGTTGAATAAGTGTACCTAATGAAGTAGCTTGTGAGTGTATATTGTCTTCCCAAAACAACATGTGGAATTTAATCTAAGGTGATGTGCTGACTAAATCAGTCGGCACCTTTGGCAAGCTGCCGATCGTCTAGGTCAAGATGGATGTGCACACTCTGCTTGCTTCTATTCTCACACATTTGCACACACGTGCACAGCTTCAGGTGACAGAGATTAATAGCCTTACAGAGTGACAGAGTAACTTCCACTTCCTTTGTGTCACTGTCAGTTCCCAGCTGCATGCATGTCACAGTATGTGTATGTGTGTGAAGCCATTATTAGAAGTATAATTGCACAGACATTTAAAGTGTTTCCCCTCAAGGATTGCGCCAGCATCCAATAAAGTTTTCATACCACAGGAGAGATGGCAAGAGAGTGGAGAGAGAGTGACAGAGCAGACAGGAGGAAGAAGAAGAGAGAGTCTAAAACAACAAGACTCTGCTGCAGGTGTGTTGCAAGGTGCAGTTAGCCGCAGGCTGGTACTCTGGAATTGTGTTGTCTTTTTGTCTTCATATTTATATTTTTATTCTATCCCTTTTTCTTTAAAAAACAAAATTGGGTCCTTGAATTATGCTGTACAAGGAGAGGAGCATTGCAGGTGCATGTTATTGTAACTCCCTAAGAAATCTGAACACATCAGCAGAAAGATTAAAAAGCTGAAGTCTATAGAATCTATCTTATATTTTCAATTAAATTGAAATTTAAGTAAAACAAGTACATTTATTTCAACCAAAATTACAAATTTACATTTCAAGAAGTTGAATTTGTTGGTAATCCAGCAAAATACTGTAAATGTAAACAGAACTGATAAGAGGAATGGGATCACACAGGACCTACAACAAGCAGGCAAACAGAAGAAACTGCAGTCTGTAACAACCCTTATTATTGTGGTAAAGCACCACTAGGGGGTGTTGGCCTGCTATTGTAGTAGCTGGGGAGACTCCTAGTGTGTGTGAATGCAGCGGCAGCTGTGTAGCTGTTCCGAGAGAAACCATACCATTGTAACGACTACCTAACCCCGCACATGTATGTACAGACAGAGTAGAGCCGTGGAGACCTGGCTGGTATGGTCTTGTTGTGTTAACAGACCCAATAAAGGCCTTTTGTTCTATTTAACTGACTAGACTGGCTAGACCTGCTAGCCACTCCTTCCTCACCAGACTGCCGTTACTGTTAAGTTGTTCAGTGTAAAACACAAAGAGGGCAACTTTTTGTCCAGCTTGATAGTAAAATGATTACATATTCAGTGAAAATGTCAGTTGGCATATGTTATTTGACAAACTGAAGAAAAGGCTGAAAGTTATATTTGTGTTTCTTTTTTTTTTCGCCAACCAGCAAAGACTGCAAAAATATTGAGTGCTTTAAGGCAACAGCTCCATAATAAACAACGCTGAAGAGCTTGGCTCTGCATTTATGAACCATCACTTTAATGCATTTTTACTGTTTAGAGTTAAATATGAAATTACAGCAGTGTGAAGGTTGAGAGATGGAGAGGAAAAGTGAAGGCAGAGGAGGTGAGGAAAGGTGATTACTGGTGCAGTGAATCTCGGAGGATAAAGGGTTTTTATTAAAAACAGATGAGAAGAATGCATGACAACTACTCTGCCTCGCATTGCTTCTCTTCACTCTTCAGTAGCTCTCTACATTCTCTCTCTCCCCCTCTTACACCCACCTCTGGGATTTACATGTCATATTGAGACTGGATAGACCGTACCTGAGAAATTTACTCAAGTAAACAGCTCAAAGTACAGCTTGTCCATTAAGATGAGCTGGTGTGAGAGCAGGAAAGACACAATGCCTCCATCTGTCTGTCTGACTCTGCATTTTCTCCTGCAGTCTTGTTTTTTCATCGTTGATTTTGACTTCAGCTGTGGATATTTGACGACTGAAGCGACTGGGACTTTTGTAGCTCGTGGGTCTCCAATCTTTGTGGTGGTCTTTTTCTGTTTTGTTCCTTAACATTCTTCTTTTTCCTCTTCCTCACGTCCTTTCCATAGTTAGGCCTTCTCCCTCCTGAAAATTGCTGACACAAGTGAGTTCTTACATTGAGTCTATGATTATTTATCCCTATTATAAAGCAATCATTATTATATTATAGTTGTAGCAGCAGATAACCACCCCTCCCTGAGCATGGTGTCGCTGGAGGTTTCTTCCTGTCAAAGGGGACTTTTTCCTTCCCACTGATGCCAAGTGCTTGCTCATAGAGGGCCATTTGACTGTTGTGCTTGTCTCTGTATTATTGTATTAGCATAACTACAGTATTGCAAAATTAGTATAATTCTTAGTAATTAGCAGACATATCAGCTGCTCTCAACGAGTTTCTCAACCTCACAGGTTCGCCTGAAATTTTTTTCCAACAGTCTGATAAATGTTCTCTACATCTTTTGCATCATATTATTTATCAGTTTATTCCTCTTAAACTCTTATCCAAATAGGAAAATTGTTTAAGACTTACTATATCATATATGGCACTAATAGTTAATATTTTATTATTTTTAGATTGTGGCATTTTAGCACTTTTACTGTAAAAGAAAAGTCCTGGAGACGTTTCACTACCTCTCTTCAGTTGGCCACTACACGTTGCTGTTATTTGTGCATGGTAGAAAACAAATACAAATGCACTGTAAGAAGTTTTGTTCCACAAGAAAGCAACTCCAACACCAGTTACATTTTCAAAAGCAGCCATTATAAATAAGCCAATATGTTGGTGGATATGCTGATTTGCATTGTAGATACATGAGGATTTGTCTCATGCTGCCTGTGGCGACAGGTTATGTGTAGTGAGGAAAAGGGCCATTATTATCATTCATTCACATTCCTGGATTATCATAACTACTCAGGTCTATTAGACTGTGTGGTGCATGTGTTTAAAATTTTTCTCTTTTGTTTCTTGTCTTTGTTCATTCATCCTGATGTTTTAATGAGGAATCCATAGACGAAGGTTTACTGGAACTCAACAAAATAATGGTAAACACATCATTCCTCATGAATGATGCAGTTTCTGTCATTGTCTCCGTGCCTGCCCAGCCGGCCCCACAAGGCTACATGTGCTGTTTTGGTTCTCTCTCTCTCTCTCTCTCTGCCTGGGCGGAGCTCACTGTGGGCTCCTGCCCTTGGCCCACACACCTGACAACAATCACCTGTCTTCACCGGGAGCACTATTTGAGGCTGGAACACAGATCCTCTC